CGCCCTCCCTCCCAGGCTCTCAAACCCGGGAGGGAGGGGGAGATCCCGAGTGGCCACGGCGCGCGAAATAGCTGATTCACATGCAGCTGCTCCCCCTCCCTCCCGGGTTTGAGAGCCTGGGAGGGAGGGCGAGCAGCGGCGCGCGAGTGGCAGCAGCGGAGGTGAGTTAGGGCGGCTGGGGCACATTTTTAGGGGCGGCATGGCCCACGCCAGAATGCCACCCCTAAAAATGTGCCGCCCCAAGCACCAGCTTGTTTTGCTGGTGCCTAGAGCCGGCCCTGTATAAAGGTAACTTTTTGCCAGTCAGGTATTAGCTACTTGAAATTCTGCACTGGCCAAACCATCATGAAGATAACTGGATAACTATGAACTGTTAGCAATGGCACAGAGAGCAGAACTAGATGAGGCAAGAGCGATATGCACCCTGAAAGCTTGCAGTTTCAAGGGTAACTGCACTTTTAACCCACTTCCTCTGTGGTCCACTCCAGCAATGCTCCTGAAGTCTGAGGTCTCTAGCCTTCACTTCTCTCTGGGCAGGGAACCATGTCCCACTCCCTTCCAACTTGGAGTTTTAGGCTGCGAACCCCTGCTTTTTACTGTGATTATCCTAGGCAGGCCTGAGAAATGTCAAGCCCCTGCTGCTTAGTTTCTTTCCAAGGACAACAACCCTGTTTTTACCAGTGACCACAGAACTCATCCAGAGTAAGCACCATTTATTCAAAGACAAAAGCATCACAGAAAAAAGGTAAAACAAAACAGATTCTAAATGCACACTAAATGTAACAGAAATTGCCCATCAGTCCTATGGGGCCCTAGTAGCCCTAAGTCCTTCCAACCCTTCAGTGAGGGTTGTGGCCGCCTTAGGACCACAGGTCTGATTGCTGAATCCAAAGAAAGACCCTAAGGCTTGGTCTACACTTAAAATTTAGATTGACATAGCTATGTTGCTCAGGAGTGTGAAAAATCCACACCCCTGAGTGCGGTAGCTATGCTGACCTAAGCCCCGGTGTAGACACAGCTGGGCTAATGGAAGAATATTTCCATTCTCTTAGCTGCAATTGCTTGGGAAGGTGATGATGTTCCCACAGCGATGGAAAAACCCCTGTCATCAGTTGCACCTATACTATGGGGTTGTGCTAGCATAGCTACAGTGCTGTAGCTATTGCCGCTGTAGTCTCTGTAGTGTAGACATGCCCTGAGTCTGTGTAAACTCAGTCTTTTAAATACCAAGTTCTTCCTTTTTCTCTTGCCTCTTCGTTGGTACTGCCCTAAATGAGTATATGCAAACCACCCCAGGAGGTGATACTTCTCTGGAGCTGTTTGCAATCTCGGGGATCGCAGTGATCCCCCCTCACTTTTTTAGTTCTTGGAGGAGCTATGGTAACCCTCCCTCCAGTGGTTTGAGCATTGGCCTGCTAAACCCAGGGTTGCGAGTTCAATCCTTGAGGGGGGCACTTAGGTATCTGGGGCAAAATCAGTACTTGGTCCTGCTAGTGGAGGCAGGGGGCTGGACTCAATGACCTTTCGGGGTCCCTTCCAGTTCTATGAGATAGATATATCTCCATATATTATATTAATGGAGTTGCATACAATCCCTGGTTCATAATGCTACATAAAACATTCATAAACTTAATACAATGTGGTCCCCAAAGATATTGCATATGGTTGCCATTTCTGTCACAAATGACATCTAACTTATCCTGATACTCTTTGAATTTGGTAGCATTTTAAACCCTCTTTGCATAAATGACTGCACAGGGCAATGGAGAACCAGGACCCTTATATTTTATCAGAGTTACTCAGGTCAGGCTATGCCTGCTATTGTAATGAGAGTAGATGGCACTACCTGCAGCTCATCAAACTCACCGCTTTGTGGGTAGCCAGGGAGGGCGTAAGGCTAAGGGAGCAATCCCTGACAGAAAAGCCCCACTGTGTTGTCGGTGAATTCAGGAGAATGAAAGTCTATGAGAATAAACTCAGACAGAAAATCTGGAGTGAAGTCCCAAAGACTAACATCTTAGTATCTTTCCGGAAACTCCTGCAACGGATCGGGGACCAGATGTATTGATTCTTCTTTCCTCTTGATTTTACCGGTGATGCCAAGAGAAGGGGGATTCTGATGCATGGGCAACTCAGGGCCTCCATATCATCTGCCCAGGCTTGCACCCTGGAGAGGTACTCCAGCTTTGCCTCAAGCGTCAACACAACAAAGGAGGCAGCATGTTCTAAGCTCATCCTCGATCGGCGTAGAATTGAGCACCAGGGGCTGTCTCTAATGGTGGGAGAGATCATTGTATCTCACTGGACAGCTCCAACTCACAATAAAACTGGGCAGGCTCCAGACAATAGGGTGTTGTCCCACCACAGTCTGCCTGCTTCAATGGGTGCTTGGAGCTTAGAGTTTTATAACTTGACAAGTGGACTGAAACTAACACACCAGGCAAATCAAGTAAAAAAAAAAGAAAACATCCTTAAAGATAGGGTGCTGGAACGTTTGCACTATGACAAACGGATTATTTGAAGACCTTCAATAGATCAGTGATGCACATAAAATTGCCATGATCAATGATGAGCTGAAGCGACTCAATGTGGATATCGCATCCCTCCAAGAAACA